AATGAAATGTGTAAATATTGTTCCTGAGCAAACTTGCGCTCTATAAATTTTAAAGCTAAAATTGTTGAAATTTTGTCCATTTTGTCCTCTTTCAAGAAAATGAGATAAATTTGGACTAGTTTGTGACGTCATGAAAACAAAAATTGTCAATAAACTACTTTGAAACTATCATATGTTCTGTTAGTTTATATTTCTCATAATTTGACTTCAGTGGGGGCAAGGATATGCAATATACCGCATATAGTTCTTAAGCAATTTGGTTCCCAATTTAGCATGCTGACCAATAATATTTAGCATGCTGAATGATCATAGCAAAGAATGCTATCAATGGAACCTTTTTTTGCAAGCACCTATTAATATATGGAATTTTTATCAACACTACTTTTACTACTAATTTATCATCATGCATATCATAAACATTAGTTCCAAATCACTTTTTTTGGACATAGATATGACAGATAATGTTTAAGATGCAGAAGTTCAACTGGATTTATGTAACCATATATACCAAAGAAGCTGATAGATATAATTATTTCCTTTAGCAGTTGTAAAATTGTTAATCTCCATTAACTGTAGATATGAGCAACCGATCCCATCACAGGGATGTTAATGATGTTTTACCCTTGAAGCCAAGCAAACTTTTCATTCATTTATTTTTTATCACAGGCCACAGTTGCAGCTTTTGCAGCCAGTGAGGGACATGCCCATCCTAGGGTGGTAGAACTTCCAAAAACTGAGGAGGGGCTCGGCTTCAATGTAATGGGTGGAAAGGAACAGAATTCTCCGATCTATATTTCTAGAATTATCCAAGGTGGAGTGGCAGATAGACATGGTGGCTTGAAGCGTGGTGATCAATTACTTTCTGTAAATGGGGTTGTAAGTATTTTATATTCTTAGAAAAAAAAGTTTAACTGTAAATGTCCAAGTATAATGCTAGTCTTAGTCAGGCGAAGTTTGAGTTAGATAAATGAATGATTGACAAAATAATTTTTGCATGAGGTTTCATATCTGTGTAGTTCTTGAAATAAACATGGTAAATGGAGTCTGGACTTTTTTTTGAATATTTTTGGTTTGTAGAGTGTGGAAGGAGAGCATCATGAAAAAGCTGTGGAACTTCTTAAACAGGCCAAAGGTAATTTTACAATGTACATCAATATATGCTTTTTTTTTCAAATTATACTTACAAATATATGTCTATGAAAATCTCAACCATCTTTGTTATTTTTTTTTTTTAATTTTACTATTTTTGTTTGTTTGTGTTATACATGTAAATAAGTCAAAACTAATTCATTTGCATAAAGAACTACACTAACTAACTTCTGATTACCACTGGACAGTATAATGAACAAGATTCTTTCATAAAAGAGATTTTCAATACCAGCTTATATTAACAATGTGTTTTGAAATATTTTAAAGCGTGATGATGAGATAAACACAGTCACTTTGATGATGAAACAATGGAATTTACTGTCAATACTTTCATTTGCAACTATCTTGGAGAAATTCCCAATAAAATTACCTGGGGCATGGTTTCAGCCATGAACATTATAGAGACTATTTCATTTATTTTATACTTATTATCTACAGGTACAGTAAGACTAGTGGTCCGATACAATCCCAGGGTTTTAGAAGAAATGGAGGCAAGGTTTGACAAACAAAGGGTGTCATCCAGAAGGAGACAGTCACCATAGTAACCATCACAACAACATCAATTCTTTTTTAAAATACATAAAACATTGACAATTATCTGGGATTTAGTTAAAGAAGTATATATATTGTACCTAGATAGGAACAAAGTCACCAAGGATGTAATGGCTTGACAATTGACATTGAATTTTGTGATGTTCAATAAGGAATCAGTAAAAGGTTAGTGATATAGACTGAGGTATGATTATTTGTGCTGTTGTATGACAGAGAATTTTAAAAGTGTATTTATTTGTAAATCAGGATTTCATTTGTAAATCAAGATTCTCATTCATTTACTTGCATTTTGTAAATTTTTGCAATATAAAAGGCACATGTACATTTTTTTAAATGGTAGACAGTTTACAAATAGCAAATGTATTGTACATATATACAAGTATATTGAAAAAATATGGCTTATCTTAGAGTAGAAGAAATAAAAAGTTTTAATTTTACTTGTAGTTAGTTTTTAACTTTGATTTATCTTTGGAAATGAACTGTGAGTTATTGTTGTTCGGTGCAAGTGATGTGTTGCAGTTGATTCAGAAAGCCAGTTTATACCTTGGAAAAGTCGAACTCAACCATGAAATGGTACATGTACATGTATGTGCTAATCTCGGGCAAAGGGCAAAATTAAAAAAGAGTGGATTTAAAAATTCATTACCACATTTTCGATATTGTATTGAATAAATAAAATTTGATAATGTCTCATATCAAAAAAATAATGACATTGTCTCTTCTGGCATATAAGTGGAGCTAAGTCGTCTCATCTTTAAAGTTCATGATGTTAATAAATTTCTTAACCAAATAGAATCTATTTGCCATTTGACAGATGTTAATCAGGCCTACTTAGCACCGAGAATCCCATGCCTGACTGAAAGTCCTAGCTTAACTGAGAATTGTCCTAGTAATTTGTTTGTTCATATAAACAGGTCCAGCACAATACCCTGATAAAGGTATATAGCTTGATCAAGGTATCTTATATAATGAAAATTAAAAAAATTCTAAAAAAATAAATTAATTAATTAAATACTGAAAGACGAGTTCTGTGTTGTAAAATTTTCAGTAAATTTATTCGTGCAAGTAAAATACTCATACAGAAAGAAATCAGTATAAAACCTGTCGTTTGAGGAGACGTTCTTTTATTCTGTCATTTTGATACCAGACTACTTTTCATGCACGAGCCAACACACTGACAACAACTCATAATTCGACATTTAAATTTAATTTTTCAAGATTTTTTTTTGGTTTTTTGTTTTTGTTTTTGTTTCTACATAAAATACCTTGATCAAAGTATGTGTATTACATTGACCAAGCTATATCTTTATCAATCTATATTATACCTTTATCATGGTATTGTGCTGGATCACTTTTTTCCAAACATAACTTTTAACTATTGAATTTTTTCATTGAAAGGTCTGGTTGCCCCCCCCCCTCACTTTTTGTAAGAAGGGTAATGTAGTAGATTTTACCCACACGAAATAGGATTTTTTTTTAAGTTGGGGCAATTTCCTTTTTTTCCTTGTCAATTTTTTTTTACGTGGGTTGAAATGTTTTCTCTGCATTTCGATGAAGGTCACCAAACTAAAATGATTTTGAGTTTAGAATGTTAATGTACTAGTTTAAATATATAAATTTCAAAAACTCAAACTAATTTGGTAAATTGAAAGTTAATAAATATTTTAGTTCAAAAATTTTAAATTTTAAATTTCCGAACAGGTTTTAAAATTTTAATAGATTTTTACCTAAAATGTTCAAAATGCAAATTTCGTAAAACGATTTTTCTATTTTAAACGTTCGACTTTTAAGCTATCGTTTGCTGAAAAAAAAGTTTACACTTAAAACAATCTAAAATTAAGAACCATTTTACATCTTTTGCTATTTTTAAATTAACTTCAAACTTCTAAATTTCAACTTTCAAAACGATTTAGATATTTGGAATTTCTATTCAACCATTCAAATTTCAAAAACCAAACCACTTTGAGATTTTAGAAGTTTACTTCAAATATCCAAAATATCAATTCCAAACCTGGTTTGATCTTTAAAACTATTTCAAAACCTCGATTTTTGGATAAGCAAAAGAGCTTTTAGATACTTAGAACACAGGCACCTGATGTTACTTAATATAAAAAAAATATACACATACCTAATAATAAACTTTTATTAAAAGAAAAATAAGTAACGTCAGGTTATGTGTATATTTTTTTTTATTAAAAGAAAAATAAGTAACGTCAGGTGCCTGTGACTTAAAATATTGAACTTATATTCAAAATTAAAATCGGATTTTGGGTATTCAAAGTAGCTGCAGATCTGTAGCTCTCCGAAAAAATATTGATAGACCGGAGAGCTACGTGCAGAGCCACCCATTGAAAAAACTGTATATTTATTGCGCACAAAAAAGTGCGTTCGGTTCTCGATTTATTTCTCCATGTTTTTAAAACTGTAATCTCAAAATATTATTAACCGTATGTTCCTAACAAATTCTTTGACTCTTTCCACAACAAAACATTCCTCATAATATGTTGTTAATGGTCCTCTTGGTCCTGATAAAGCAATCATAGAACATTTCGCTTATTTATACTGCCATTTTTGTTTCTAAGATAATTCGGTTCATTATGCTTCATTCAGATTTCAACTACGGGAGTACTTGATAGAGGAGAGAGGAATTTTTTGAAATCTTCCATTTTTTGCAATTGAGGTAAGAATTTGGAAGAATTAATCAAGAACTGAGCGCACTTTTTTGTGCGCAATAAATATACAGTTTTTTCAATGGGTGGCACTGTAACTCTCCGGTTTATCAATATATATTTTTTCGGAGAGCTACAGATCTGCAGCTATATTCAAAGTAAACTCAAAGTGTTTAGGTTATTTGAAATTAGAACATTTGAAATTCGGTCCGTGTAACACTTAAAATAAAAACAATTCAAATTTTCTAAAATGATCCAGAGTTTATAATAGTTCATTTTTCTAAAATTTCAAAATTTTCAGTAGTTATTTTTTAAACAACCGTATAATGAAAAGAAAACAAAATTTACTTATTTTCATTGAAATATAAAAATAGAACAAACGTCATTTCTAAATATAGGCCTAGATTGTTTTTCAGAAGTGCGTTTTAAAATGAAACTAAGGATTTTTGTTGTCCAATTTCTTATTGTTTGCAATATATATGTTGTCATTTTAGCAATTCATACAGCTATTGACCATTCCTATTATTATATTTGCATTTTGGAATGCATGATGCAATCATCAATCGGCATTCTCACATATTTTTAGCATGGGATCACTACGCATGAAAATTCAACAAAAATGATTAATCTCAAAATTAAAATATAAATCCAAACTGGATTTATTTTTCTAAAATGCTAAATTGAATGTTATATATCTTCAGCTAAGAAAGAAAAAGTATAAAGAAAGTAATTCTCACTTATCGAGTTCTATTTTTTATTCGGAAGTATTTTTAGTTAAGCGGAAATTTTCCGGAACTTCCGAGAATGATTTTACCGAGAAAACATATGACAAGATGAGTTTACAATCATTTCAATTTCTAAAGTTCACAATAACGGAATGAAAACATGAATCGATCTATGAAGGATTCTAAGAGTGTCTCTAATAATTCAAACGAATCAGAAAGTAGTAAGTGCTCTGTTATAAAGAAAACGGATCACCAAGATTGGAGAGAAACAACGTCCGCATTTGCTAGGTCTATGTGTAGGTGGCCATTTCATAATCCATTTGAGTGTGTCGAATTTATCCCCGCGGAATATAGTGAAAGACTAAAAGACTTGCTACCCGAAGAAGACGAAAATAAGACAGGGACATGAATACGAGACTTTAAGGATTCTTTGTGTCTGTCATGAATCCATATGGAAAAACTAAGAATTGGTTCTGTAGAACAGACCGCTGTGATAGTACATCAGTCGGTGGACGAACTGTGCCAAGTCTTTTAAGGCTTGATAGTACGGGTAACACACTTTGTAAGAGAGAGAATCATAACAACAGCATGGCTTCTTGTTTTGCAAAAACTGTTGGTGGCATTATGCAAAAAAACAATTTTTCAAAGGATAATTTTGTTGGTAGTATGTCGGACTTTCCGATGCTACATGATTCTTGTGATTTTGCTTGTGATAAAAATATGGCAGCTAAAAACAGTGACTCGAAAAACATGCCCTTAGCTTCCTGTTTTGGAAGTTTTCAGGGCTTAGCTGGGTGCCTTGGCTTGAATGCATGTAGTTCTATTTCTCAACACCAAACATTGCATCATGGTCATTTTCAACTGCCTTATCTCCAGTTTCACCCTGCAGTTGTCAATGCCTTTCCACACCAAACTGAATCGGCCAAAAAGCAGTTTGTGAAATGTCAAAGCCATAGGACAGGAAAAAAAAGCAATCGTTATTTCCGATATGGATGGAAAGCTCCACCTAGGAAGTCATCTCCTGAGGGTGAAAAGTCGTGTGCTCGGCCTACAAAGTCCGAGGATGATTCAGTACGCAAAAAGCAAAAATGTGATAACTCTGAGAGGACTCAACAAGAGGTACAAAGAAATTCTGAAAAGAAGAAAGAGGAGAAAGCCAAATATAATGACAGTAAAGATTGTTTATCTAGTCATATGTGTAATTTAAGTCTTGGTGAAAGTGTCGCAATTGAAAATGCCTTAAATGATGGTACAGCTCTCAGTTCAGATGACACAGAAGTAGACAAATCAAAACCAGACTGGTTCAACATTGGAAGGCGGGATTCCGAGAATAAATTATCTCCATCAAACACGGTGACAGTACTAGACAACTGGGATGATGAAATATGTGAAGAAATTCAATCAGAAAGCTCAAAACTTCAAGAAGAAATTTTAGATCTATTAGCAACTGATGATGTGAAAATCAGTGCTAGCAATACATGTTCCAAGAATATTGGAGATGAGTCATTGCAAGGCATGGACATTGAATGTGAAAATACCTGTGCCACCAATGGTGAATTAAACTGCAATGACAGCAAACAAATGGTCAAAGATAATGAAGATTCTGCTCATCAGTGCCAAAATAATGAACCACATGCTGTGTTATTTCAGCGTAGTATGAATAAAAAATGTCGCCCTTCCAATAAAAAACGCAGTCGAAGGAAAAGCAGCAAACATTCAAAGACTTTCAGATGTGATCAGGGTCAAAAAAGAAAATTGGAGGATGGAAACCCTTCTAATTGTGGTGCTAGTGCCATAGCCTTTATCATGGGAAATTGTGATCCACATTCCATTTTAGACAGTGAGAGTGATTTTTCATTTGACAGTGATGAAGATTCCTCCGAGTCTATGGAGGACGATATTGACTTTCAATTTGCCGGCCCTTTCAGTTTCTGTGAGAAAGCCATTTTTCCTACCAGTTCTAGTCCAGGCCAAGAGGTCAGCCAAGCTGTCAGTGCAGCAAACCGTGCCTGGCAGATTGGGTCCCAAGAATCCAGTCCAAAA